GGGGTCACAGAGAACCCCAAATTACTGATTTAGATAAAACGGGTCAAATCTTGGATTTTTGAGAGGAACAATAACCAGACTGGAGAAAACCATGGTTAGGCCCCAGCTGGAACCTGGGATGTTCCACACACTTGCATAAACATAAACATACATTTGCTTGTTAAAAGTAACGTCATTTTAAACTCCTTCAATAATCTCTGAGATAGTCACACAAACGGACTTGCACATCACTTCAGGAGAATGCTGGTGACATTAGTTTAAGGCCCAGGTCCTTATAACCAGTCCTGTACCACGGATCAACTTGAATTATCAGTTGTAGGTCCCATTTTTCAGCTGAGCACCTTGTAAACTATAGATGTGAAGTTTATTGTTAAAAACAGAGTATTGCTTCTTTGATCAGAAGGCCCTTGTCAAGACTCACCTAGAGACTGAAATACTTTATTCTTTATTGAATCTTCAGTTTTTATAAATGGCCTTAAAAACAGTTGGGCTCCGTGCTTTTCTTCAGTTCATGTCATTCTTTGCCTTCACTCTTTTCTGTAAACTTAGAGTAAAATCTATGTTTCTTTCCTTCTACATGGACTGACTGCAGCTTTCTTCTCTGGCGTCATTTCCTGCCTTTCGTCCTTCACTGCTCCCACCTCTGCCTTCTGTTCGTTGGCTTTCTGGCTTGCTCTGGCCTCAAAGTCCTTGGTTTGCCGAACCTGGGGCCTGCATCGCTCCCCCTGCGGATTTCCACATGGCCATCGCCTTCATCTCTTTAATCTATCAGTTTGTGTGTCTTCTTCTCAGATGCTTCGTCCACCAGTATACCTACTGTTGCCCACCCCTCCCCCATCGCTATCACATCAGCGTTTTCTTCACGGCCCTTCAGGCTATGAGAAATGCTCTTATTTGCTTATGTTCTCTCCCACACGCACGTACAGGGGGACATCCAGAGAGAGGGTCTGTTATGGCTGTTTCCCCTGCACCTGGCACTGCCTGGTGCTGAGTGGCATTTGGTAAACCATCGCCAGTGAGTGGATGACTTAACAGAACCTGGAGTTGCCATTAGGAGGTAACCTGTATTCCTTTTGCAGTGTTGATGGGAACCATTTTCAGCATCCTGCTGGTGACCATGATCCTTATGGCGTTTTGTGTCTACAAGCCCATTCGGCGTCGATGACAGCTGAGCAAGCAAGTTCTTCCACGAGCGTTTGGGAACAGGTTAATTTGTGTTGCACACGGGTCAGTGGAGAAGTTGGAATCAAACTTTCCTGCTTGGAAATGCCCTTTGGTCTGGACAGTTGGTAAATGCTAAATGATTTAGAAAAAACATCTAGCAATTCTTTTTTTCCTAACACTGTAACGCAAGTAATTGGCCACTGAATCTGCTTCTCAGTGTTTTTTTGTCTGGCTGTACATGTTAAAAGTTAAGACCTGAAGCTCCAAGGTTCGGTGAAAAGATGGAGTGCTCATGAGAAAGAAAACACACAGTAACTTTGTGAGTGACATTAAACCCCATGGGAAAGAACTAATCATTGTTTGAAAATATTAAGAAGAGGAGGACTTAACATGTAGACATTCTCTACTTAAGTACCATTTGGTAACAGTGGGTTAATAATCACAAATATTTTTAATTATACTGAATTGGCCGAGAGCGCTCTGGCTGCAAAGCACTGTCAGCTGTGGAGATCGTGTGCCATCACTTCTCATGCAGCATCGGGCTGTGCACTCAGATGTCCCCGTTGAAGTCAGGATTACATCAGGTAGGCCTATCTGTGATGGCGTGCACCCTTGAGCTGGAAGGCTCCGTGTTTGGACTGGAAATGTTACTAATTAGCCCATCTGAAAAAGAACTCCTTCCTGCTCAAACATATTGACCTCCCTTGTACTGCACTTTTCAGCCCTTGGTCTAAAACTGGTGGCAGCTTTTCAGATTTAGAATCTAAGAGACTCAGCAGGAACTCGTTCTTTTCGGACCTGGTTGGGGAGGGCTCAAAACAGAAGTGCGTGTTCACTGTACCAGGCAGAGTGGCGGGTGGGTTGGGTGTTTACACAAATTTAATTTCAACTTTGACAATGCTGCTATTTGTTTGCACTATTGATGAACTGGATTTTTTCCCCCCTATTGAAATGATACTTTCGTACTTACAAAGTGGTTATCAGTATTTATTTTATTTTAAAGGTGCTAGGTTTAATTTTGTTATTAAATTGAAATGCTTAGCTTGTGCTCCATTCAAGCACAGCACTGATTTTTTTTTTTAACAACTCGTATTTAATGTGAAATAACTAATGTGGGATCCTGTAACTCTTTGACTTAAGGATTTTTTGTTTGTAACCCTAACATTGAGCCATTAAAATGTTAGCTGTTCTGTGCTTTTCAGCAAAAATGTCAATTAAAATTATAGTAAAATCTTACATGCTGTCTTACTCCTAATTATTTTCCAAGTGTTTAAAATACAGGTGTCTGTGTGAATCTGATTTAATATCTTAAGAAAGCACTGTGAAGTGGAATTTTAAATTCATATGTGAAATAACACTGTTGCCCCAAGGCAAGGCATTACCTACCGTTTCCCTCCAAAAATAAGACCTAGCCGGAGAAGAAGCCCTAGCATGATTCCTCCAGGATATGTAGGGCACGCACCCCTCACATGAGGGTTTTATGACCTGTTTCAGGGAGAAGGGTGCCTTTCCCACAAACTCCTTCAGGTTCAAATATTCAGTATGCCAAGGTGCCATATTTTGGCACCTAAAATCATGCGAGGGCTTATTTTCCCGTTAGGTCTTATTTTTGGGGAAACGGTATTTCAGAAAACTCAGCCGTAATTAATCTCTCGGGCTGGGCCAGGAGTCAGAGGATTATCGTCCTAACTTTAATTACAAATTACAATCACGCTTAACGTCTCCAGAGCCTCAGTTTCTCATCTGTGAAATGGTGATATATACTCTTTATCTTTCTTAATTATGGTGAAGATGAAATGATTTGAAAACTAACACAAATGAAGGTGGGAACACCACAGTTGGCTTGATCATCGAAATCTGTGGTTACTGACTGGATGGAAGAGGAGTGGGTGGGATTCTGAGAGGCTCTGGCCTTGACAGAGTTAAGTCCCATTCATCTGGAGTGCCACGTTTCGATATGCTGCCTAAAAATGTTTTGCCTTTCTTAGGATTTTAAAAGGAAACAGTAAAAACTTGGCCAGGTCCATAAACCTTGTGACCTGCTGTTTGCTCAGTCAGTAGTCACCAGCCAGGTAGTAGGATCATGTTTGTTTTCTCAGAAAACCTTGCAGTAGTTATTCCACATACAAATGCAAAACCCAGCCTACATCTTCATTCCAATGTTACCATCTGTTCACTACCAGATTTCAAGCTAAAGTAAGACAACAGATGTTTGTAGAAAGAGGCTTACTACAGAGAGGCGAGTAAAGGACATCAATTCTGGGAGAGAGAATTATACTGAAAACTTCATGCACCAGAGACTGACCAAGCAGTACCTTCAAGTGGAATCATTTTCTTGACCATCTTTGGGAGTGCAGGGGAAAGCGGTAGCCCAACCCTAGACCTCAAACTGAACTGTACTCAGAATACCTACCAAGTACCCAAAGGAACATGAGTAACTTACACCAATCATGAGTCATTTTAGCAAATACTCAACTTTCAAGTTGAGATTAAGGAATCAGAAAGGGACTCTGGAATCTTATATTACATTTTTTTCCTGCTGGACCTCAATCTTAAATCCACACATACTTCTACACATGGGCCTAGTATGGACTTTGAACTCCGTCACTTACTGCACCGCAGTCATCTGAACTTGTCGTAATCCAACTTGTCTTGGACGTCATCTGCGTTTAGCAGGAAATTGGGACCAAGAGACTTATTATTAAGTCTCTTTCCTGACATTATTTACAGACTTCGCTTCCTTGACACCTCACATTACGTATGGTGCGATGAGCTTGTCTATGGAGCAAAGTGTCTTAGGAACTTTTCTATACTTAGTTCCTAGCAATGTCTTACATACAGAAGTTACTCAAAGTTTGCTGCTGATATTGGGCCACCCAAGTGTTAATGAACCTAAAGAAAGTTAGTTTTTAATTAAAAAATCCATAGGTATTACATCTCAACCTAAGAAGAATAAATTTCCTTCAGTGTCCCACTAGCTCCAAGTATTGCTGTTCACTTTCCTCTAAAAGCAAAGCAGCTTCATTTTCCCATAAGTAACCAAGGTCTCATTTCTGGAACCAAACATTTTTTACTGGTCACTGCCTTGTTTTAATACCAGCATATCTGACATAGGATAAGTCCGGAAGCCCTAATTATCACCTGAACTAAGAACAGCCTCACAAAAGCACTTTGGCTTCCAAGGAGAGAGCATATTTAGTCACCTTAGAGAGCTGATGTTGACTTGGCTTCCCTTACTTCCTAAGAGCCAGTCCATCTGCAAGAGAAGGGCTGCAGAGGGGTCTCTGAGCAGCCCCGACACTGGCTGGCTTTTAGTTTCCATTTGAAGCAAGAAACATGGGGCGCTCGCACTGCATGACTGGGCAGGAAGGTTGAGAGGAGCATGTCACCTTTGTGATATACAACTGAGCATTGGGAGGGCATTCCAATAACATAACAGGAAGTGGTACATTCAGTGACTAGAAAAACAACATGAAAAGAAGACTCAAAGGCCGTCTGGGATATTGGATGAGCCCCTCTAAGGAAGCAGTCTTTATTTGCATTTTGAGAGTGAACACGTGTGAAAAACCGCTGCAGACAGGTTGACAAAAAGCTCAGTCCTTTTTTAACTGACTTCCCGGGAGAAAGTCGGACATCAGGAAACAACAACGGAATGCAAACAGATTCACCTTCGTGAGTAAACAATGTGGCCTGACTGCGGCCATTTCCAAGAGGTGTCCTCACTCAAGGTAAATACTAAGTAAACAAAATGCCAAGGGGTGTATTTGAAACAAACGTGATGCTGCATATACTGGCCTTGTGTACGGAGAAGGAATTTTGGTCAGACCATGACAAGAAAGGCAGATGGAATCAAAAGCACAATTCTCTGTGACTAGGAACGTTTTACTGGCAATGCTAACTGTATGATACAGAGTTCGACTGGAACAGCAGTTTGTTTTTCTTCCCATCTCATCCCAAAAGAAGCCAACACATAGGAAACTGATGCAAAACAGAGGAGGATATTGTTTACCAGGTTATTTCAGTGCAGCCTGTGGGAATGAATCCAGGGGCCAGAGTGAGGGTGCCCTCAGCTGTATTCCCCAGGGTTCTGGGTGTTGTGCGATGGTTATTTACAGAAGGGTTACACAAAATAGTTAACTACTAAAGGTATCCAAAAAAGGCCTGAGAAAATCTGGTTAAAATGTATAACCTTGTATTGCTACTGATGGGAGTAGTCGTTTTTCTATCTTTTAAAAATAATAAAAAGATTCTGTTAAAAAATATATTTATCCAGAAAGATGTTGATTTGAACTCTAAAAAGCAATGTGGAATCATGTTCCCTTTTGAATTCAGCGCCATTGAGTTCCCTGTGTAGCTAGCTAGCTCCCTTTTCTGACTTCCACCCCTGCCTCTCAAGTGAGCTGAGGGCATGTGGTGGGGTCTAGGGAGAAATCCTGCGTGGAGCGCACACACTTGTTTTGGTTCTGTGCTGTTCCGGTATTTTGGCCAGCCTGCCCACTTCAAGAACAAAGTTCAGGTTCTCCTCGCGGTTCCTGCAGGGCCAGGATTAGCTGCTTTGGATTTCGCCTGGAGGATCCTGCTCTCAAAGGAACTGCCTTTACAAATTCAAATCAGATCCCTCCGTAAGTGGAGTGAGGTGGTTTGAAACTATTAGTAATTTCTTAAGGCTAAGGCAACATCCGTGGTCATTAGTATATCTGGATTGGATGCAAAGTTAACCCTACTCTAAAATAGATCCTGTACATTTCTCCTCTTTAACTTTAGCTGAGAGCGGAAGGAATAGAATACAGTGGAGATGCAGGAGGAACAGTGACTGTGTCCCAGAAACCCTGTATAAAGGTAAAAATAAAAGAGATCGGCACAGATTATCCATTTCTTTGGTGAACTGTAAAGAAGTATCTCATAAATTTTCATAAACCACACTCTACAAAGGCTGCTGCTCTCATATATAAAAGCACCTGACTCCGCAATAACTTGTTTTGTTATCACTCCTTGGTAAAAATTAATCTACAAACCTGCGGGGATTGGGGTTTTTGTCTAAAGCTGGTAGTAAAAACATGAGCTGCGAGCCAATACAGCTAATGAAAAGTGACGATGCTCTCCTCCCCTTAGCCTGGAGATGGGGCCTGCCAGTGCCCAGCCCCTTCCCCAGGGAGCATCGTGATGGCCCTGGAGTCCCAGGCCCTGCACCTCGGTGTAAAGAAGGGGGCAGCTGCTATCTGCTGTGTCCCTCAGCCCCAGGGCCCTGGTGACGCAGCAGCACTCGCGTGCAGCCCCGAGCCTCTGCTTTGTGCCACCCGGGGGCAGAAAGGCCTATTTCTCAGTGAGAGACAGCTGCAAGACCTGCTGCAGCTCCGCCTCCTCCTCCCGGAGACGGAGCTCTTGCTCCTCCAGCTCTTTGGCAGAGAGCTCCATGGCCAGCTGCAAGTCGCTATCAAAACGGTTCGGCCCACTCGAGGCACTAGGGCACAGGCCTTCGGAGCTGGTCAGGAGGCTTTCCTGGATGGCCCTGGGTTGGAAAAAGAGGGGAAAAAAGAAACAGTGATAACCATCATCATCATGGCGGCAGCAGCAACTACATTTCTTGACTGCTTACCAAGTGCATGCTGTGCCAGGCACTTGATATGCACCCTGTGTGCGTGATGCCATTCAGTCCCACATAACTGGGGGCATAGGTGCTGTATACAGGTGAGAAACCTGAGGTTCAGAGAGGTTAAGAAACCTGCTCAGGATTCACATCACTCAGCTAAAAAGTGATGGGGCTAGGAATTGAACTTGGATGTATTTTAAAGCAAAATCCAAGTTCTTCAACAGGTTTTCATATGTGCCCAAAGTATGGGAAAATGCTTTGTATAATGAACCTTTCTGGTTTCCTCCGACAGAGAGAGCGAGAGAGAGGGAGGGAGGGAGGGAGGGAAGGAAAGAGGGAAGGGAAGGAGAGAAGGAAGGAGGGAAGGAAAGAGGGAAGGGAAGGAGAGAAAGAAGGAGGGAAGGAGAGAAGGAACAAAGGAAGAAAGAAATCTAATCATCTCTGTAGCTCTTCCCCAAAATGTCATTATCCTTTACATTGTATAAACTCCCACTGTGTGATCAACCAGTCTTCTCAGAAGATCAGGCCAATCAGAAAACATTTCCTCGGGGCCTGTCAGCCAATGGCACTGGCCTGTGAACAAGGCAGCAATTTTATCGCCCATTCCTGGAAACTCAGCTACCAAGAGATCAGAGGTGTTTTAATGTGTAACTGCCACAAGAGGAAGCAAGAGAGCTAACACTCCGTCAAGTCCCTCCCCCCAGGCACAGTGCTGCATGTACACAGTGCCTGTGCCAGCTTCGGTTTAATCATCAAGAGTCATGTCAATCACCTCTCATACTGGGCATCGTAGGCATGCATCTGACTGATCCCTCCGTTTGAAGCTGGTCCTGAAAGTTCCTAGGAAAAACAAACATCATGGATGTAAGTAACTCTTAGAAGAAACATGTGCCATACTGATAAGGAAATGAAAGCAGTGAGAACAAATTAAAAAGATTTACATGCCCATGGTTGATAGTGCTGTGTGAAAAACTAACAGGGACTTGGGTTATCTCTAAAATGACACCCAAATGTCAGGTAGTATATGGTATACTACTAACATACTTGACACAAAGTCAGTCTATTAAAAACAGCTAACTTCGGGCAAAGTTTAAATGAACAAAGCAGGTAATTGTTTTAGAGCAAGATTAGAATCCATAATTCAAGTCACGTGTCACATAACAAGGTTTCAATGACAGACCGTTTATATGATGGTGGTATACCATACAGCCCAGGTGTGCAGTAGGCTACGTCATCTAGGCTTGTGTAAGTGTGCCCTATGAGATTTCCACAACAATGAAATTGCCTAACAACACATTTCTCACAATGTATCTCCACCCCTCATGATGAACTGGCACATAACTGGATTTGTCGTCTGTGACTTTGGCCACTCCCTTTTGCAAAATTTATGGTCACCAAGATTTATGTAGATACTGGAGGAAAAAAATAAGCTCACATGTATAGGGAAAGAAAAGGTGTACTGGACTGACAGTGACGTCCAGGGGCTGTCTTCTCCCAGGAGGCCTCCCAAAGGGAAGATGCCAGCTCCGGGGTCTGGCCCCTGGCCCAGCAGCCTCAGAAAACTGAATGGCTCTAAGAATGGGGAGGCGAAGAGGGGGGCTCACATTGCTCAAGGTCTAAGGCTCAAAGATAAAGCCAGAATGTCAAAGAACGCGAGCTGGGGGAAGCCACAGCGGGGCAGGGACAGAAGGAGATGATGATGGGGAGGAGCACCTCCAGCCCTGGACTGTCCCAGGCAGGGGAGGCCTGGGGGAAGAGCCACATCAGAGGACAAAAGGCAACTGTTCTGCTGCTGTCCTGTCCTGTGCTTAACTCTACCTTTAGCTAGAGACTCAGAGACTTTGGGATTATACCCCTTACAACAGAATAAAACATCTGAGTAAAAAAAAAAAAAAAAGTAAAGACTCAACCAACATTTTCATCAGACCCCTTACTGAGCGAACACAACACAATGATTGGTCTTCCTTAGGGAAGAAATTGAAATTAAAATTGACAAACCTTCTTATGACACTATTGACATGCAGATAATATTCTAAGGAAAATATGATCATATAAACTACCATAAATTTACTATTTCAACTGGAAAATTATACAGCGCACTGAAAGATACATGATTAGTAGCTATATGGGTGAACATGTGGAAAAGGAAAGTCTGTCAGGAGACATGCTGGGAATGATGCTGATGGGACGATACAAATTATGAGATGCATATCTCATATAATATGCTTTTGTAAAAGACCAGGTGTATAAAATACAAATAGGGCCGGCCGAAGGGCTCAGTTGGTTAAGAGCTTGCTCAAGAGAGTGAGCTCTGAGCAACAGGGTTGCCGGTTCGATTCCCGGCCTGAGCTGAGCTGCCGCTGAACTGCCAACAGGTAGCAGGATGGCTCAGCTAAAAAAAATAAAATAAAATACAAATAATCTCTGTAAATGCCATAAATATGCCAAACTTGTTAGTTCAGTTTTTCGGGTTAGCTAAAAACTGAGGCCAAATGGGAGGGCTCTTCCATTTATTCTGAAAAATGCACCTGGCTCCTGCTGGACTCCAGTAAGCTCTGCTGGATGGCAAACTGCATGATCTCGTAATCTTCATCCTGCAAATGCACGTTTCTGCCATTGTCTTGAACGTGGTAAGATTCGGGAATTTCAAACACGGATTGATCAACCTCAAAGTTTGTGACGGGGGAAGCTGAAACACAAAAGGTGACAGTCCAGGGCCTGAATTAGTAAAATAAATTTCCACTTCAACTGGATAAGCATTTTTTGAGATTAAAAAAAAAAATGAAAAGATTAAAATGATTAAATCAAGGTTTGCTATAATGTGAGAGCGATTTTGAGGAAGAATAATCTTGACAGAGAAAAGTACCAGAATATTGCTTTTTTCTTTTTGCCTTTATTATTTTTTAGTAATAAAGTTAATGCATAGTCATAAAAAAAATACAGAAGACTATAAAATGAAAAGTGAAGCTCTCTCGCTACACCGTTTCTCATATTTCCAAATTCCAGAGGTAATCAGCATTTACTCATATGTCCCTTGAGGAACGTGATGTGTATATACACACGTCACACCAATGTGTCTTTTTATTTTTTCCTTTTTTATTATGAAATATAGTAAACATACAAAATAAAGTGCATATATCTGTAAACTTAAAAGTGATAATATAAAACAAACACCTGAGTATCTTTCAACTTGCCTAAGACAATATTATTTTACCACAATTTCTAAAATCTGAAAAAATTCAATTACGTTTCTGTATACTAGCAATGAGTAACTGGAAAATAAAAAATAAATCCATTTACAATAGAATCCAAATAGTAACTGGATTAATGACAAAGGGGCCTGAGAAAATTGAGGTGGGGTTGTTTTTTTCAGTTAATACAAACTAAATCTAAAATTTTCTTTATTCAACACAGAGATCTACTTCATAAGATACTCCAAATTTCAAACAAAATTAGTATGACTGAATTTTTTAAAAAAATCATGAAGAACCAACTTTTTTTTACCTGAATTGGCCTGGGTCCCTTCCACATTTTGAGATACAGTTTCTTCAGCAGTGCTACAGCCATTAACGTTTCCAAATGTAATCCGTGCATTTAAGACATGAAACAAGGGAATTTCTAACAAAATAAAAGCTTTTATAAACTTTACTGAGAACAATAATTGCAGCCATCATTTAATAATTAGCCATGAGTGCTTACTATGCTGGTACCATGCCAAGTACTTTTTATAAGTATGATTTAATTTAATCCTTATAACAAACCTTCCCAATACACTATTGGGAAAACTGAGATTCAGAGAGGTTACGCAACTTTTCCCAGATCACAGTAAGTGATGGAGCCAGGATTCACGTGTCATGAATGTACAACTATCCAAAATGTAAAGTGCTCACAAGTAATATGAACTATATATGGTACTATGCATACTAGTTTAGGCCCATCAAAGGATCTTGGTATCAACTGTTTTCCTCAATTATCTAATTCGAAGTTTCACTTAAGTAAGGTCTGATAGTAAAACAATGAATATGTCACAGTTTTATGCCTTTTTACATCTGTCATCACCATCAATAAACAGAACTGATGGTTGGAGAATCTCCTAATTTTGGTACGCAAAATGAACTAAGAATCATGACACTTCTTTAAACCAAATGAAACTAAAGAATAACTCTGACCTCCGTTATGTGTACTGTGAGCTACTTTTGCCTAGAGTGTTATGATTCCCTGAAGCACATTCTGTCACCCACAAAAAGGGCAGAACCTACAAGTGCCCCTGTGGTTCACGGTACCTATTTTGACAGGAAATCCAGGTGGGAATTCCAATTTGATGAAATCTCTCAGTCTTGCAAAATGAGCACTAGTTCTGGCCATCAGGTCAATGATGGGAATGACCTGCTCCACGAGAGAGAGAGGGAATTCCTCACACATCCACAGCATTGCTTTAAACCTGCAGGATTTGACCGAGATAAGACTGAGGGCATCGCCACCAGACAGGGAAATTGAATTCTGACAGTAGACTAGACAACCCCAGCTTCCTTACGCCACAGTCTTCCCATCTAGCTTACATCTCATAATTCGGAGCCATGAAGGAACTAGACCCATGAGAAATTCAGATCACTCCGAAATCTGGCAATCAGGAAAATGGCCTCCACTACAACTTCCGGCGAGAGCCTTAATCGGTAGGAAGCATAAAAATACTGCTAAGTGGTAGCAACCGTTTCATTGGGTCAGCTGAAGCGTGTTTGCAGTAAAATAAAGAATTCTTATCAGTCTTTATTCTATTTGGAGAAGGGCGAATAAGATGGGCTATCTACTGTTAGCTTTTGTCAAGTTTATTTAAAATTATTTTTAAAGGAAGGGGGCAGAAGAATTAAGATCACCCCCTAAAACAGCCCAATTCTGGAACAAAATGGCCACTGAATCGCTTACTTTTGTGTTCTAATCGTGAGCTCTTTCGGCCTTCCGATGTCCCTGTCTCTCAGATCAAACTCTTCACTGAAGTACTCGTCAGGCGTGATGGCTGTGGGGTTGTTTGCGGTGGCACATTCTGTGGTAAGGTCCTGCCGAGTCAGAACTCATGGGAATCAGAAATGCCAAATGAGACTCACAAGTGGAGGCCTATAGCACTCAGTCTCTGAGGTGGGTATGTTAACCAGCTACAGGTCAGGAAGTTCTAGTCATTAACTTTCTTTTTATTAAGTTACTGCACACAACAAGAAAATCTACAAAAATGCAAGTCTAATGGATTTCTCCACATTAAAATATTTCTCCACTCTCCTTTGCATTTTTTTTTTTTAAGCTGAGTCATCCTGCCACCTGTTGGCAGCTCAGCTTGAGCCGGGAATCGAACCGGCGACCCTGTTGCTCAGAGCTCACACTCTTGAGTAAGCGCTTAACCAACTGAGCCACTCGGCTGGCCCCCCTTTGCATTTTTATCTCCTGATTACAGAAAGGATAAAAGAGAGAAAAAAATATATAAACTATGGGAGAGCTGGAGGAATTGGCGTTTAAGTTCCAGTTCTGTCACTTTCTAGCTTGTGACACTGGAAAGGTAATTTCATTTTTTTGACTCTTGATGGCATCCATTGTAGCAATTTCATATAGTTATTGTGAGGATCAAGTAAGAAAATGTCTGTTAAGGTGCTCTGTTCAAATATAAAGTCCTGAATCTTAATTTTAAGTTCCATTTTTATAGAGAGATCCTAGTTTATAACCGATAAGAGAGAAGGCACCTGATTTCTCTCATCATTACCCGTCCCCTAACATCTTTATTTTTAAAGACTCACTCATCTAATTCTCTTCCAAGAGGGTATCTCACAAGTTCTGGTTTGGAAGTCCTCTATGGTCCTTTCAAATAGAATGGCGCATTCAGGACTCAGTAAATGCCATCCCAAGCATAGAAATGTCATCTCCTTTCAACTGCACTGAAAGTTTGTTTCTTCAACTTACCCCTTGAGCACCAAACTGGTGTTCCACGGTTCCCAGCAGAGATTCCAGTGGGTTCCTGTCCGCTACAGAGAGGGGGAAAGTTTAATGTCTAATAATTATACTGTACTTGTGACTACAGAAAAAAATTCTCATCGTATTTTAAAGTTTTTGATCAAGCTACTTGCACTAGGAAATCCATTTATGGACAGACTGATCAAATCATCCACAATAACCATCAGCTAACTTATCCTTTGTAGGACACTTTTTATTAGGATCTCTAAACTAGATGAACAACAGTTACAAGAATTAAAACAGAATACTAGAAAGAGCTTGGACTTGGAAGTGAGCCAGAGCTGGATTCCAGTTCTCACCCGGGCTCGTCACTGCCCATGTGTCCTAGGCCTCAGTTTCCTCATCTGTCAAAATGGAGTCAGTATCATGGTAGCTGCAGTTAACAACGATGGTGCGTTAACAATTACTGTGTGCTAGCCACATACTGCAGATGCTAAAGGTTCACATGTAGTAACTCATCTAATCCTCCCAATAACTAAAGAAGGTCTGGGAGCAGCACCTCCATTTCATTTTTGAGGAAACTGAGGCACAGGGGTTAAGTAACTTCACAGGACCACAGAACCAGTCACTAGTGGAGCTGGGATATGGTGACTATGTATTGGCAATGTTTTTGCTCAGAGCCCAAGTTCTGTCCAAATCTTTCATCGTGGTAAGTTTGCACTAAATCACTCATTCCAGTGATAGATATTCTCCAATATCCTTATCTATTTTTTTAGTCAAATTTAACAGCTGTTCTTCATAATACATAAACAAGTTCTCATGAATGGTTTTCATTCTAGCTGAAGCCAACTATGGGGAAATACCTCTAAGAATAAGTCAGACTAGGAAATTTTTATAAAAAGGAAGTTAGGAATAGGATTAGCACCACTGGATTACATCAACCTCCAAATTTAAGAGTGCCAAGGAAGGTTCTCTCCAGGCTTAAAAAAAGGGGGCATGGGGGGGGGGAGCGGTTAGCTCAGTTGGTTAGAGCACAGGGCTCATAACACCAAGGTTGCCAGTTCGATCCCCACATGGGCCACTGAGCTGCGCCCTCCACAACTAGATTGAAACTACTTGACTTGGAGCTGGTGGGTCCTGGAAAAACACACTGTTCCCCAATTTAAAAAAAGGGGGGGGGGAGGAGGATTACCTTTATATCTCTTTTTTTCTTCCTCAGTCAGATGTTCTGTCCGGATTTTGGTTATGACACTCACATTGTTTACTGTGTAAACCTTGAGAGACGTGTGCAAGAGAAAACAGTGACACAGGGAATCAAAACTCAAAAAAATAAGCATAGCAAGAGCAAGAATGCTGAAGCCCAAAAAAAAAAAATCCAGCAAAATAAAAATGAGAAATGGTTAACGCTCATTAGGATCCTTCAGAGAAAATACACAAGCGATCAACTTAGAATGCATCAGCAGTCACTTTGCGCATCTGAGAGTTTTAAATACTGAGGAGTTAACAGTGACAGGCTGCATCTCCCTAATTGCCCTTCCAGCTGCTAAACACTCTCAAAGAATGTCCTGGCAATTGAGGCCTCCCGCTGGATTTCTAGTTTGCTAAGTAAGGCACCCAAACCTGCCTGATTTGCGGTCATCTTATAATAGGGCTGACTTAGCCATCTGTTGGGCAGAAGGAAAAAGGAAAGAACACAAGGCTCTCTAAGCAGATAAGATATACAGTCCACCGGCAAAAATTACTGACAAAAATTACTAACTGCCAGAGAAGATGCCCTGTTATCGAGGTTGACTGGAGACTATGGGGGTCTGGAAAATCAAGTATCTCGGTTAACAGAGAATTAACTGTATCTGCCATACGTGGATTCCCAACATTCGAAGGTTCAGGAAATACACATAGCCCTGGAACGACTGTTACTAAATGTATCTTGCTGAGCATGACATCAGCGTTCTCGGCTCGCTCAGAGGTCACCAGAGGATTCGGCAGTGCTTGGATCCATCACGGTGAGCCATCAATCCCTGTTGTACTGCAGGGCCAAGGGCGGGCCAGGAAACAGCCTTCCAGTGGACAAAATGCCAGCTGTCTCCACCATGACTGACAACTATGTTCTAAATTCACTGATGTCACGTAAGGGGTTGTAAGCCTGCTGGTTATAATTTGCCTACCTAAAAAAAAAAAATGGAGACTCATAAAAGCTACTTTACAATTTTTTTTAACACATTCATTATAAAAAAAGATGAATAAGCGTATTCAGTCTAATTCTTTCTCTTTCCTTTTTTTTTTAAGAATTAAGGAATTGTCATTTCTACCACAGGACAACTGGAACCTGTACTCATTTCTCTACAACACTGCTCCTCTTTGGCATAACTAGAGACCTCCTTGGGACATGCTATCCCATTTTCTGAAAGTCAAGTGAGATAAAAATCCAAGTGAGAGGCACACTAGACAGGACTTAGTCCCCAGGGCATCTCCATGGCACAGATGCATGACAAAATCTGAACAGACTCCTCATTTGCATAGAAGCTACATAACTATATTAAATCTTATTTTAAGAGTTTCCTTTTACCTTTGCTTCGTAACCATTAACAACTTCTGCTTTATCTGTCCTCCAGCCCCAGAATCCGGATTTAGTTCTGATAAAAAGTGAACACCACAAATTTCTACATGTACAAAATGCCATTCAGATTCATCCCTGCAGCCTTTATAGCTTTTCCCCCGGCTTAAGTTAGTGAAGGACACTTGGAAATCATGGTCCGACTGTCCACAAAAGGATGTTATCAATGACAGACGGCTTAAGCATCCCCCACCCCCCTCCCACACTTATTAATCAATTTGCCTCACCCCCCGGCATAGAAAGCCTCCATTCTTGGCTTCTTTACAAAAACTGCCAGCACAGGCAACAAAGGTGGTGACATTTACTGGACAGCTGTCCTGAAGAAGTGAGTGAAGATGACCAGTTTCCAAGGGCTCGCCACAGGTGCTATCTGGGTCAGACCATTTATCTGGGTCATCTTAACTATGGGCACGGGTAACAGTGGCTCTGTCCCCTTAAGTTGCTGCATCTCAATGAGTAATTCTTAGAACAAGGAGGTGCAGACCACCCTGCTCCTCGGAGGAAAGCGGGTGGGGGCAGGAACTCATGACCGTGGCGAGCTGCTTGGAGAAGCCGTTAATGATCTTAATGCTCGCAAAATGGTGTGGGAGTCACACATTTTATCTGGTTTGGTGCAACAGGGGGAAAGAATTTTAAAAGCAGTTTTGAAAGCCGTTGGTCCCAGCTCAGTGGAACTGCTTTTAAAGTAGCCCAGCATTCCAGCAGCAGCTGCAGCATTGGTAAAGTGCCCAAAAACCCAGTTATTCCACTCAACACACTCCTGGAAAAAAAATGTATTTAGGAACCAAGAGCAGCCAAGAGGCTCTGTTTCTTTTTCAAAGCAGCGCACCCTGGGAAATGCTACCCCTCATCAGGGAGCCCTGACCAGACTGCCCCTTTGTCTAGGACATCACATCCTAGCTGCACTATGACCGCTGCGCTTGGCCCTGCGTAGCACCTGCCTGCCTTCGGCTCTGACCCTGGAGTGAAGTGGGACATCACACAGGAAGCTCCGGGAACAGTGGCAGGTTAGCCAAGTCACAAAGAAGGTATGTGAGTGTTTGCATATTGTGTTTCCAGTTTGCTTTTCTTCTAATGGGGTTTGGTAAATGAAATTAGGTCAGATGAGGTATAAGGGGTTTCGTATGTGTATTATAGCCCATCGGAGACAGGAGGGACCGGAGCTGTAATTTTCCTATTAGCTGTCCATGACCCGTGGAGGGAGAGAAAAGAATCCTAAAGGGACTACACAAACTGCCAGCTATCTCCAACTGACATTTCAGAAATAAAATAATCCTGGGGTACAGGGGACGAGGGACCACACCTGAATGACTAATAAACCACAGTCCCCTTTTAGTCACTGATAATTGAAAATCGAGATACTCCTTTTGATTCACAAAGTCAATCCTCCGTGTCTTGTCTTTCACTCAATCACTTACATGTTGGCAAGGGAAATACTTTCCTGGCACACAGTCGTTCGAGATACCAAAAGATGATTAGGCCTGCTCCACTTCATCCTGCACGTGTACTGAGAAAACGAAGCTGCACTCTTCTGCCTGGGAACCACCACGCTCCTCACTCACCTCCCTCTGCTCTAGCAGCAATGCTGGCTGTTCCACTTCCTTTTCCATTCCCACTCTCTGACAGCTGAGGGTTTTGTTTGTTGTTTGTTGTTTTTGTTTTTTTGAAAATTAAGGAATTTATTTTGGTAGTTCTTCAATGGTGATGCGAGACACTGAATTCCATCCAGTGGAGGCATCTCCTTTGGGGGTAATCTGAGCAAGTACTAACCCAGACAGCAGCATCCACTAATCAGGCACCAATTACTTGACAAAGCCCTCCCACTACTCTGCTGCCTTGACCAGAAGCCCTCTGACAGTTTACTTATTAAAATCAATAAAGTCAAAAACTACATCCTAGTTTAAAGCCAAGATTCTAACAACTCCTTGGCCCTGGGTAAGATGACAGGAGAACACCCAGCCTCCCTCCCCTGCCATTTTCACCTCTGCCTGTATCCACTGTGACCACCATACCAAGGCCACTTAGCAGGCACTGGGGCTCGGAGGCTGCCGCACAGTTTGGAGAAACGCTCTGATGATAGAAGGGAATGTTTTGTTTAAGGTGGGCAGAGCATAATCTTTCAGAGAAGAGAAAACCCCAAACTGCAACTAGAGGGTATATATTAGCAGGCCAAACATTCCTGCAGGAAGGGTATTAATGTGCAAGCCCCAAGTAACAGGCGAGAAGGAAAAAATGGATGAAAATGACTATCATAATATAAGAGAGCCACATCTTCCAAATTCAATCACATGAACACTCACACCTCCGGTAAGAAGTAGGTATGCACTTTTTTCTACCAGCAAACCTCACACTCGAGTGGCTCAAATCCTTGCTCGATGCACGAGAAGCTCACTGATCCCATAATTTAACTCTGAGCACCACACATACAAAAAAACTGTCTTCCGGAAATTCTCTCTCAGCAACCCACTGTCAGTTGCAAAAAAGAGGATTAGCCTGAACGGTTTGAAAACCCTGTGACCATACAAATATAAAATGTGAGTTAGTCCTCAGGACAAATGGAACGTGCCATCATTTCCCATCTATACTCAGTGGGTAACAGCCAGAAACCATCTACTCTCTTCGTAAATTACATTTAAGAACAAACAATGACTCGAACGACTCTGCTGATGAATTACGAGGAAACAGTGGCTCTTCTGAGGACAACTTAGAGCCATGGACTTCAGAGACTTCATCCCTAGATTCACTCCATTTTTTCTTTCATCCGAGAAACAGAAACCCGGAGAGATGAAGCCACTTGCACAAAGCTGCACAGTTAGTCAGTAGCCCGGCCGACGACACTCGGTTCTTTCAACTCTTGTCCCTACTGCTGGGCTGTGACGGTGAGGGCAGGCTCCTCTACCTTCCAGCTTTGCAAACCAAGCCCTAAACTGAAGTGCCTTCCCTGCCTGCAGACGCATACACTAAAGCCTGGATGGGTCTTCTCCAGCCTGCCAGGCGAAGCCACGGTCAGTCCCTCAACCTGGCTGTCCCTGGAAGACAACGGCTGTCGCCTGGCGAGGCTGGTGCGAGTAGGCTGGCGATGGGGCACTGACCCTGCCTCAGGGGAGTGCCACTACCACAGCAGCAGCATACCTGGTGTTTCGAGTTTCTTTTCTGCTACAAACACCCTAATTCCACAGCTCAATCTAAATTAGAGCCAAAGGGCACTTAACAAGTCTTACGTGTGACTAAACAGAAAACTCACAGTTTTAATAAATTTTATATTGGAAACAAAGAAGAAAAGAAGAAGAAAAAGATAGGACAGTTAGTATATTTATTAAGAGAAAAGAAAGTCCAAATCCAGGATAATATTGTCAGTGTTAGCTCACGTTATGCTGCTTTGGTGTAGGAGAGCTGGATGTGACATCCTAGGCAAACATTCAGGGCTCTTACAGGCTCCCTCGGCTCAGCATGCTCTATGGCAGAAACACAGGCTGGCAGCTGTGACGGCCTCGACTTCCCTTACAAAGGCCCTACACACCTCTCACAGCCCAGAGGCAGATACCAGAGACAGTATTCTCATTTGGGTTAACGGAGACACAGACCTCTCCAGAGGTTTCTTCGGGTAGAGTCTGGCATAGAACTGAAACCTCTCCAGACTCTTGCTCTAAATTATTAGGCCTCACGGTAAGGGAGCTGGGGAGAGAGGACCACATTTAACTACGTAAGTGTGAATTTGACTGCCCAATATCAGCATAGCCACGTTCAGTATTGGATCAATTCCAGCTTCTGGAAGCTCAGTGCTCCATGGTTTGGGACTAGGGAGCCTTGTAGATCCCCAAACACCAAAAGAAAAATAAAACTCAAGTCAAATCCACTAGCAAGAGCCCATAAAAGAATATGAAAACATTTCTCCAAGACTTAACCAAGGTGCTATAAAAATGATATATGATGGAGGATGTCAGCTATGGTTTCTATTTGGTTAGAGCACAGATCAACTTTAAAACCCACTAGCGCTTAAACTGCCATATTAGAAGAATCCCAATCCACCCATAATTTCCTATCAATATACACATGCCACTAAAATGGCAGTAAAAGGATGAGACATTAAAATGCAGAACCTAAATTTGTACCTTTCAAAAGCAATATTTTTAGTATCAAGGCTGGTGTTAATGACTGGGCTTGTGAGCCGCCTCTCAATTTCCCGGCTTGTTGGCTTCATCAAGTCCAGAGTGAGGCGCACCATTTCCTGGGAAAGATCAAAGTGTTCCGTGGTGACCACTTTGTCATCGTGGTTGACTTCCATCAGCTCCGCCCAATTGTCTGTTAATAGGAACAAGGGCATAACTCAGCACAATGCAAGAAAGAGGCAAAAACAAGACAGCGGCATATGTTAAAATACATCATCTTTCTAATCCACACCCCAGGTGCCGTCTGATAAAAGACTAGGGATTATCAATTACCTACTTGCACAGGAATTATCTGGCCAGCTTTCCAAACTCATGGACTCTGGGCCATCTTCCCCAAAATGCAGACTTCAAAACAATGTGCATTCTTTGTGAGTAACGCATTTATCTGTGTACTTTTTTAAAATATGTGATTACACAATATAAACTATTTATGCACAACACTGGGTAAGCCATGCCATTAGGAGGGTCGTGCCTGATTATGGAATGGCATGTAAAGAGACACAAGACAGGGTCTTGTACTCAAAGGCTCGGGGACGTGAGACAGACACATGTCAAGAGGCTAACAGCGTTGGTGGTAAATGATACATACAAAAGAACAACATAGACAAATAAGATTCAGGAATCGAGAGGTGAATAATTAATAAGAACAACAACAAAATGCCCCAGAAAGGACGAGATAAGGCACATGAATGTGGACGCGCTTTGATGGTTACAAATCACTCTGTGACTTAGCATGAGTGGTGGTTACTACAACAGAATCACTCACCTTCTCCCTTAAATATAAAACTACGCCTCCCTCTTATCCAGCTCATGTTCTCAAATCCCAGCAATGTGATATCGACGCGCAGTTTGGCACCACTTTTCCAAATGCGACAGACATCATTCGGACATATTCTGGAAACCAAGGGCACTGGAGAAGAGAAATGCACTACTGAGAAAAAC